AGGAGCTGATCCACAGCAGGGACCTCCCCACCCCTCTCTCCCCTGCCACTTCAGTTCAGACTCGTGTACCCATTCTCCTGATTTGGCATTACAGAAATCAAGAGAACAATCTGGCCAAGAAAGCACTCACAGAGGGTGGGCAATGGCAAGAGATAATGTTCTTTCAAGGGATGGGGGTGGAGGAGAAGGCCTGGGGACCCTCACACACCAGGGAACCTGGTGTCTTTCACACCACTTAGAACTGGGATCTCTACCACAAGGCAAGGAGAGGAGACTAAACTGGGTGTCAGGAGGCTCCCATTTACCACAGTTCTGAAGCTGGTCTTCACTCCTCTGCAGCAGAGCCCAGGATGCAGAGTCATACAGCTGCTTCCTGGGAATCTCTATCCAGAGCTAGAGACCCCTACGCTCTACAGAGGTCATGTCAGCCCCCTTCTGGGGCTACTAATGGGATCATGCCAAGAGTCAAGAGGAGTGGCTCAAGCCAAAAGCAATGGTGGGACCTCTGGCACTAGGCAGAACAGGATTCATGTGTCCATCCAGGGGCAGGAAGCAACACTCCCTCCTCCACCCAGGGGCTAGTGGCCACACCCCCCAAGAGGAGGGCAGTGTCTCTCTGCTCCTTGAGTTGCTTATCAACATTGTTCCTCAGGAGTCTGGGTTCTTGGCAGGGTAAGGACAAGAAAGAAGGTTCCTCTGCAGCCCTGGGACTGCTTATATCTGGGTCAGCTACTCCTTGCACTGCTGGTGGGGCTTCAAAAAGTGAGTTATATGCCTGGTGTTCACAATACCTTTATCTTTCTTGTCTGTCTTGGATGGCTTCCACGTCCATCACCTCATGTGATGGACAGGATTGGTGTGATCTTGATTTTACAGATGAAGAAACTGAGGCTCCTTAGAGGTTCTTTCCAAGTCAAAATACAGTCCATGATCAGCATCACTGGGAGCGTCTTAGAACTATAGACTCTCAAGCCCCACTCTGACCTACCCAATCAGAATCTGCCTTTTAGCAAGAGCCCCAGCTGAGTTTGAGAAGCACTGGGCTGGGTACTTACCCAAGATCTGGGGTCAATCCAGTATGCTTTTATAACAAGCGATGCCATGCTTTGAGTGATAAGGACTTAGCGGGTTACTAGCAAACCCCATAAAAGAACCCCTGCTTTCTAGCTTGAGCCCGCTGTTAAACCACGTCTATTTTGCTTTTAGCTTTCCTAAGAAAAGGAGATGGCCATCTGTATTCTCCAAACCCTGGGACTCCTCATGGAGTGAAGTCTGTCCTGGTCTGACCCAAGGCAAAGAGTGATGGCGCCCTCGCGTGGCAGCTTCAACACTGCAGCTCACACAAGGCCTCGTTAGAACTGGATGGAGGAGGGCCCTCAGATTCTCAGGGAACCAGAGCTACCCAAATAATGTTATATTCAGAGTGATGTTTTGGGAAGGCAAAAGCCCCATATTCTAGCCACACAACTTTCCAGAAGATTAACGTTCTCCAAAACAGCTGGAGTCAGGACTCCTGGCTCTGTCGCCCACCTGCTCTGTCAGCTTCTCCTGCTTTGGCTCTTTCCTCATCCAGAAAGTGGAGGGTTGGATTTGATTTCAAGTACTGTCGTTCTGATGTTCTGGATTTTTCCATTCATTGAAAATATTGCACTTGTGTATTCAAGTGTTCACTGTGCACCTTCTATACTCTGTGCTTCACGCTGGCTGCAGAAGGGCAGTTGTGAACTAGGCAGAGTCTATCCTTCAGTTGTAGGATGTAGAATAGACCAGGACAGGACCAGGCACAGAGGAAAGACCCCTCACCTAGCCAGGGCTTCCTTTACGACTGCATGAGCCCTCCCAATTCTGAGTCCTATCTCACACAGCTCTCCTCATGGCAATCTCACATGAGGCCTAGAAGCCTCCCCAATGGCACTGCTGAAAAGGTACCTGGTCATGTGGGCCATCCTTTTCTGGAACATCTACTGATTCAGCTCGTCAAAAATGCTTTGCTGGGATTTACACCTTGAAAGCTGAACCATTGAGATGGTTTTCCAAGTGTTTCCAGCTTTCTCTTCCCCAAGCATTCGCAGAGTCTTAACAGAATAGTAGACCGGTATATTTTAAATTTTAAAGTGCATGTAGAAAAAACAACGTACGTGGTGGGTAAAGGGCCTGCTAACTAGTGATAAGAAAAGCATCTTAAGTGCTCTCTCTCCTTCCATTGATTCAGTATGCCAAACCTAACAGTCTACCTGACCTTCGAAGGAGGTAAACCCAGACACAGCTAATGAAAAAGGCCCCAAACACAGCTCTCAGTATTCTTTTTTTCTGCTTGTTGTGCTTAAACCTGGCAAATCCCACTGAGGAGTTAGAAGTAAATATTCCCCCTATTTTCCCTCCCCGGCCTTACAGCATGTGCCAAAACTGCCGTGATGAGGTCAGGATTAGCCAGGCACCTGCCCATGGATACTGGATAAATCTGGAAAGCATTCTGTCTTTCACATCTTCTGAGGTCTTCCCTTCCCTGACCCCCAGAAATTTACTCCCTCCTTTATCCTCCTGCAAGTGTTGCTCCTACCTCAACATGGCCATTTTTCCATTTTGCCTCCTAGCCTGCTGCTTGAGAGAGCACCTCCTTCATTTCTACACTTATGGCACCTGCTTCAAATAGCCGTATCCAGCTCACAGAGGACAAGGGCATTGAGGGTCATGTCCCAGGGCTGCTCCAGCCAGAGGCAACGGAGAACCACCCAGGGAAGGAAGGCACTAGCAACTCCACGCCTGCCATGGTCTCCAAATAACTGGTGGGAACTAAGCACATTTGCACACAGGACAGATGGCCCAGGATGCTGCTCAGCCTCCTTCCTTCCCAAGCTGATCCCTCATCTCAACTAGGCCAAGCTTCATGACCAAGTACTTTCCACCTGCGGCCTCACCGCACACCCCCAAAACCCAGCCCCCATCCTTCTAAAGTGCCCCCACAGCATCTAACTTTGCTGGCCACTGCCACCTCTCACTTCTTCAATTTCTCTCCTCCCTAACATGCCCCATGCATTATCATTCTTCTCTGGCAGCTCCTTGTTTCCTTCAAAGCTTCCACTTCCTCTTTCTGACATATCCAAACACAATCCTTCACTCCCTATACCAGGAACACACCCCATCCCCAATGCTGTGGCTCCAGGATCTCAACTCCATCTTGTACGACTTCCTAATCTCATCCAGGCACCCACCATCTCCACTGACGTCTGCAGACTTGAAGCTCCACGTGTCTGTCACGTCTTTTATTCCAGGTTTGAAACTTGGGAGTCATTCTTTTTAAAATACACTTCTAATTTTTTTAACGCTATGAAATTCTAAAATGTATATTATAGACATCTTAGAAAATACAAACCAGCAAAAATTTACAAAGAGAAATCACCCACAATCCCACCTGGGAGGAAATCATTTCATTTTGAAATATCCATCCGGTTTTGGGTTTTATGCAAACACATTTCATGTTCTTTCCGAATATGGGAAGCTGTGCATATTGTTTTATAACCTACGTTTCTCATGTAAAAATATAATCTTTCTGTTAAAGTCACTTAAAGAAATATGACTGAAATAGATCAAGTGTACAAAGGTGTATTATCAAAACCCAGATCAATAAAACATCAAGCCCCTGAAGCCGACCTCGCGTTGTCATTACCCCACAAAGGTTAACTACTTTCCCAACTTCTAACAGCATAGTTTTTGTCTTGAAGTCAAAATCTCCCCTCTTCCTCCTTCGATACCAAAATCTACCATTTCCCCCTGCATTTGGTTCATCTCCTCAAACGTGGGTTATTTTAAAGGTCTCACTACCTCCAACTGCCCCCTGGCCCAAGTCATCCTGCACATCACATGAGCACCCCTAAAACATCATCACTCTCAGGCTAAAAGATCTAAATAGCCCCCAGTGCTCTACACCAGAACCCAAATCTATCAGCCCTATCACCTCTGGCAACCCCCCTACAAAAACCAATTGAGATGCTTGAAAAGCATCTCCAAGGCCACTGATCTAATGTCTCTGCATGAATCCTCACCAACCCCATGGGAGCTCTGAAAGGAAGTTCTCCACATTGAGCTGAAGCTGTCCCATTGCAAAACCTTCACACCAGCCCCGGCTTTGCCTCCAACACCCTCTTCTCAGTGACATGAAAGGACTCTGGTACCTATGTTGGGTAAACAGGGATGTTAACTCTCTTTCCCAGTGACCCCAACACCCTTGTAAAATGGCTATGCTCTGGATAACTAACTAGCCGGTCCCAGGCTTCCCACTCACCTTACCAGGTACCCACTCCTCTCCCAAGGACAGTCCCTGAAGAAAACCGACCTTACTACAGACAGGTTTCTTGAAGGGGGCTGGCACAGGCTCTGTTGGTAGGCCCTGGCAGGTCAGCTCCTCCTAACACAACCAGAGCACCAGGACTGTTAAACGGCAGGACCCCACAGAGCAAGGCCCCAGACCTCTTCCCATCTAGGCCCCACGTCTTGTACACTTAAGGTCTCTTCTGATGACTTCGTCCACTTTCACCAACACTCATCACCACTCTACATATACAGCAACACACTTAGGCGCACACATTCACACCACACATCCAATGGTGGCAACAGTTACTAGCACGCTCTGGGCCATGCCCTGTTCTACAAAGGGGCTGGCACCAGTCCTGGCACTAGCCCTTTAGAGAGCCATAACCCACCTTCTGCTATTCTGAAAACCCTCCAAGTAAGTCCCAAGGTAAGGAGTCCTACATCAGAAAACTGGGCCAAGACTCAACATGGGAGAACAAGTACAGAAAGAGAGCAACTGCTTGCCACCCAGTGTGCTGTGCCTCAACTGTTCTTCAGGCCGGAGGTCTCCGACAGAAGTTAACAACTGGAATTTAGCTAAGAGGACTCTTAACCTCTGGAGAAAAGCTTTTATTGAAAACACACAAACGCGTGCACACGCATGCACACACACACACACCCTTCATTAAGAAATTAAGGAAACCATTCCGTTGAGTGTAAGACAGGTTTCTTTTATTAATTTTTCCTAAACTTGTCTCATGTTTACTGAATGTTTTTCTTAGTCAAAGAACGTGACCTGGAGCTTTAACAAACCAATTTGGATAATACAACCTGGATAAATGCTTGTCTGCAGACAAGTCATCAATTATCACACACTCTCTGGCCTGGCCTCCATGTAAATCCAATTGGTCTTAAAGGCTGTCTAAACAGAGAGCAAGCAGACCACATCATCTTATTTCTATTTTAAAGTTTAAACTTCAAATTCACCCCCATCCCAACACCCACACCCTCCCCCACACACAAAAAAATTTTATTTTAGAAGAAATGGCCATTAAGGACTGAGTCAGTTGCATAAGAATTGGCTTAATCCTGCAACCAGCACTCCAAAGTAGCTGTTGGCCTCACAGCAGGCCAGCTGGAACTCTTGAAACATGACAGGTAGAGAATGGATAGAGGATGCTCTAAAAACATGGCCAAGTCCTGGTGCTGCAAGGCTTCCATGCATGCTTACACACCAACATAAATATACTTCCACCTTCCTCCTCTCTAAGCAATTTTTCTCTGTAGCACTTTAGAGCTTGTAACACTCCAAAATTTTTTAATGCAGAAATGGACAGAAACTTATTCTAGGCATGGAAGGTATAATCTAATCTTATTTCTAACAACATAGGCCAAAATTAACAGAGAGGCACTCTGTTATACAGAACAACAATTATTACAAAGATCCAAAATGTAACCAACAAAGCTATAATAGTTTCTAAGGCAGGTACCAGCTCTGGCCTCTAATACAGGCTTCCCTTTGGAGTTTCCAAAACGCCTCACTCCTATCAACACTGCCCCAAAGGGCAGTCAGTCACAGGGAATGCTTTGGTGCTCCAGACACTGGCTGCACAGTAAGAATAAGGTGCTGCTGAAGTCGGGCACCACACTTCTTTAACACTAATTTCAAACTCATCCAGTACAATCCATTGTATCTTAGTTTTTTTGTATGATCTGTCAGCTGTTTAACACATACAAATTGGCAGATTCATGACAGATATTAACACTTAACACACAACTGATTGTGAATGAGCTAAAAAGAACTTGTCCTAGAGGACTTCCAGAAGTCCTCTTGTCCTAGGACTTCAAGCTATACCTCAAATTTACACAGAGCATCTCTCACCTGAATAAGCAGGCCAGGATACAAATCTTTACACCATAATTAACAAGAATCAATTTCTCAAATTTATCATGCCTATATCCGACAACACACCTACCCAATTCTAACCTTCTGAAGAGAAAATTATTTAGATTTTGATGCTTGGGGTAGCAAACACATTTTCAGGAACATACTTTCTCAGGAAGAGCTTCCAGGTCTAAAATCCTCAGTTAACAACTTGCTCCAGGTGAAGAGGTCTATTTTCTCAAGAGTAGCACATGGCATTTGTACTGGGAGCTCCTTTATTGGGGGAAGCGGGGAAGACAGGGTGGGAGAGGAAGAGGAGTGGGAGTGAAGTGTGAAGAAGCTCAGAGCACACCTCCTTGTTCTGCTATGTTAACCCATGCCATGCCAGGCTCTACCCCTCAGAAACAGAGGGAGACCTGACCCCCATCCCCACACCAGGCGGGGAGCCTTTGTGGCAATCTCCACAACAGCTTTTTGAAACACAATTAGAGTTCCTGCCATCTATGTTATAATGAAAAGTCTGCTTGATAGCTAGTTATAGCTTTTGCTATAGCTCAACTTTCCAAAACAAACTTAACTTTGTATAAGCATGATTAAACACAAAAGGAGTGAAGCATAAGCTCAGTAAGTTCTAACTGGGCTTCTAAATAGTACCATTATGAAAAAGATACAATGCACTTAATTTCTGTACCGAACTATTTAGAAGTCAAAATGCTCCATACATTACCTACATCCCCTCCCCCGAAATCCCCTAAAAACTGACTAAGAAATCTCCAGTATTTGATTGCTCTAGTTGATATTTAGAACAAAGTTGACAACTTAAAGCTTTATAATAGTCTGTTTTAATATAAACAATTGTTGGAATCAATCAATGTCCATTTCAGGAAGCTTCTTGTCTGAATCCGAAGGCACAGCTGTGTCTGTACCCTGCTCGGCAGCCTGAGGGCCTGGGTTGTCTCCTTGTCCATCCACTGGTCCATTCTGCTCTGCATTTTTTTGTTCCTCTTTTGGAGGTTCCACTTTGGGTTTGGGCTTTGAAATTATAGGGCTACAGATACTCATCAGCTCCTGGAATGGTGAGAGAAAACTGCAGTTTCTTATAAAAATAACAAATTTTATATGTCATTCTAAACCCAAGTCCACAGTCTCTCACTCAATCCCCACGCCAGAAGCTAAAATGCAATAACGAAGTTCCCTCCTAAATGTCACTTTAAGGACTATTAATAATAACAAAGCTGACCAAAAAAAACACTATTAAATATTTAAAGCCATAAATTACCTTAATTTTAGCTTCAATCTCTTTTGCCTTGACAACTGGATCCATGGTCAGACTCTGCTTGTTCTGCAGATTCAGCTTGTTATTCATCCACTCCATGGCTTCATTCGTGCTTTTTTCCACCTTCACCACATCAGCAGCATCCAAATGGTCATACTGGTCCTCCTGCAACCAGTAATCAACCAGACAAGTGTCAAAAATACCATACTCAAATATACTCAAATAGTGTCTAGTTCTTCACTGTCTTTCAAAAAGTTACAATCTTTCCAAAAATGAAGCACATTTAGCCTCACAATCTAAACATTCAATTCCTTAAAAATTCTTCAAGGAGAAGTAATTCCAATTTTTAAAACACTCAGGAAATAGATTGAAAGGCCAAAAACATACATAAGGGGAAATTAAAAGGCTTCAAGAGTATAAATAGCACATGCTTTACATAAAATCTTTTGAAGATAATATCACAATGCAAAAAAATTACATGTCATTAGATATGAGAGCTGAGGTTTAGGACTGCTAGTTAGGAACCAAAATAATAATGAACACAATTTTCTAAAGGAGTCGTTTCAGAAGAAAAAAATTTTTTTAAAAGAAACAAGCTCAATTTATCACTCAAAGGTTCTTACACTGATAATACATCAAGAACCTGGAGTATTCTGGAGCGGTTAGGAACCCAAACTCTGGAGTCAGACCTCAGGCTGAATCCCAGCTCCCCAAACAGTATCCTTGGGTGTTGCTTAAGAACAATGAGGCTTAAAAAAGTTAGAAGTTATCTATAAATGTTGATATTACCACCTACTTCATAAAGGTACTGTGTGGATTTAATAATATATTTATGGAGTAAATATCACATTCAAAAATTGGTAAGAAGTTTACTGTTGAAACAGTCCTACATCTGCATAACAAACCAAATTATCCACCTAATGTGTTTTCAGAAAGACAAGGATAGAGCAAGTTAAGTCACTGAGGAAGCATTTCACACCAAGAAAAGGAAATGGAACAATACTGCTCAATTGCAGATTCCACCTATTAAAGAGAAGCAGCAAATACCAGGGCTCTTAATAAGATTCTATAAAATATTATACATTACATTAACATCCAAAAAGAAAACAATACTTAAACAATAGTTAAAGAGAAGAAGAGAAAAACATATATAAACGCCTCAAAACTTAACTCTACCAAAACAAGAGTAAGGAAGGGTAGGGAGGAGGTAGGAATAAGATACCTTGTTTTTGAAAGAGCTGATTACTTTCATATACTGTTGGATTTGTTTCCCTAGTTCTTCAAATAATTTTGGTCTTTCTTCAGATTCCTGGAATCGTATCTTAATAGGCTGACCTAGATTCTTAACAGGAGAGAGAATATACAATTGTTCATAGGGAAGCTTAAACTATCAAAGCAGTACTGTTTCTACTATCACTAAGACTAATTATGAACTAAAGTACATGTAACCTCCATGTGCTACATATAAGAAATTAAATATTCTTCCCTAGCCCACTGAAATATATCCTCAGGCTAGACATGAGAATATACCTCAATACTGCTCCATGTGGAGCCACTTCAACCTGTCACTTGAGCCCTAATTCTCAAAACACAGTGAGGAGACAACCAAAAAGGAGATGCCTCCTGATAGTGCACAGGGTCGGACCCTCTTAATACATACTGAAATATTTTTGGATTTAATATAACATGAGGGATTTGCTTCAAGTAACTGGGAGTGAGAGTAATGAAACAAAACTGGCCGTAAGTTGACAACAGTTGAAACTATTACTCTCTCTACTTTCATGTGTTTGACATCTCCCATAACAAAAAGTAAAACTAAAAACTCAATGGGAAGGATCTCACAGGAGGCTCCTGTAATTTCTGCCCAAATGAGGGGAAATTGCAAGCACTGTCCCTGAGCAATCCCACTCCAGAGGTTAGTCACAATGGCCCATTTGACAAGAAACTAATCTCCAGAAATGTGACAAGTTCTTCTCGTGTATTTGCATCTTTTTCCAAACAAAAGGCCGCAACTTTAGACAAGTACCTCATACTTCTAACCCTAAGGTTTAACGATCAGATTCTTTAAATCCAAAACCAGATGCTCTACTTTATTGAGAATCAAAGCTATATACAGAGCCCTGCACTGCAGGTGCCTTTAGGACAGGGACACACCTTGCTAGTCTTTGAATGTCTTGACACCGAGAATGTACTCAATCTCCCATTCAGTGCAACATTTTAAGTCTAATCTCAATTTTCAGAAAAGTTCTCTTGTTACTCTGAGGTTCTAAAAATGAGAAAGACAATGAACCTAAGTGATAAAGCGTATAGTTCTTCAATCACTTTCAGCCTGTCTTCATTACTCGACATGAGAATTCCTCTCTATTTTGAAACACTCTCCTGGGCAACTACAGCATGAGTTGGCACTTCTGCTTTCAGGAGTCACTTACTTTTAATTCAGCCAATTTATCAACATAAATTTGCTTTGGCTGGTCTTCTCCATCCTCATACAACCAATTTTCAGTATCTTCTAGTTTCAAGGTAAAACTGTTACGATCCTAAAGATGAAGAAAACGGTGTAATTAGGTCAATCAAAAATCAACTGATTTACCAGTGGAGTCACAGTCACAGACTGCAACATATCTGGATTTGCTTTAAAATATGGGGGGAGTGGGGACACGAGAGATATAGAAAACAAGACTGGCAAAATGTTGTTTTGCTTGATAGGTACAGGGGGTGTTATTTTATTATTCTCTCTGCTGTAGGGGACGTCTGGGTATGCTTGGAAATTTCAGAATTAAAAATTGCATTTAAAAATAAGTGAGTTATAGGGGCCGGCCCCGTGGCATAGTGGTTAGGTGCGCGCGCTCCACCGCTGGCGGCCCGGGTTCGGATCCCGGGCGCGCACCAATGCACTGCTTGTCAGGCCACGCTGTGGCGGCATCCCATATAAAGTGGAGGAAGATGGGCACAGATGTTAGCCCAGGGCCAGTCTTCCTCAGCAAAAAGAGGAGGATTGACATGGATGTGAGCTCAGGGCTGATCTTCCTCACAAAAAAAAAAAAAAAAAA